TTGTACCTCCCTCCGTAAAATGACATATGCAATAAGCCTTTATAATTCTGGAATAAGAATGCAAAACATTGATGAAATATGAAGCTGAGTTTATTATATTGGTTAGGTACGCTCCTTATTTGATCTGTATTGCTGAAGAAAAATATTACATATTACTACAAAGATTTAATCAGGAATTGAGACATTTATTAGTAGCTTTATGGATTCAAGAGTTTTTTGAGTTGGTGGAAATAGACTCACCAATAGATATTGATTTGATAGTATATGCATCCATGCATGATGTGAGCGAGAAGAGAATCAGAGATGAATTAAGCAGGGATAGAGAAAGTGCCAGTGATAAGACAAGTATATATAATGATTCGTGGAGAGGATTGATAGCACCTACTTGTAGCTACAGTGATTATATCAATTATGAAAGAAGACATTCATGTTAGTGCTACCATTTGACGGGACATTTTTTTGATGTGGACAATAATGACACAATGTAGCAGATTGTTCACATAGAGGGCATGGAGGATGAACAAATTCTATAGTAGGATAGTCTAAGCAGACTAAAAGATATGACATTGTAGGATCAAGAGCACATACTAAAAGATCAGTGAACAGGGGTGACGATAGAGCTATTAGTGGAAGTTACAGTGAATCTGTTGCAGCAAGATCAACAATACTTACCCTAGTGATGCCATATGCGTACAACTTGCAGTACCAAGAAGGTTGACTAAACTTGAGAGTTCTGCTGGCAAGAAATTCCATTTTGAATGATTTTATTGACATAGCATTTTATTGTATATCGAATGACTAATGATTGAATGAAGTTCATAATTGTATAATATAAATTGATTTTTGATTTTATTTAGATTCTTCGATGAGAATTTGATTAAATTTTGATCTGATTTAAAATTTTGTTGTACTAATTTATTTTGTACTGATTTTTGTGTGCCCAAATTATTAGTGAAAATGTTGGAGATGCCATTTATCAAAGGAGGATAGATTATAATTACCTAAAAAATATGAAAACTATTTTAAAAATGAAAATTTAAATAATTTAAAAATGCTGAGCTAGAGTACTACAGTGCTAGGTATTGTAGTGCCTCGACATTGAGCTCTCTGTAATTTTGAAAATTAATTCAGAGTAGCAGCACTGCGAAGCTGTGATTTTTTGGCGCTATGGCACTGGGTCACTTGGGCATCGCGATGCTAAGCACCAAATAACATTGTATATATATTTAAATTGCCACCATCCCTGTCCACCTCTCTTCAGTTGGCTTTGTCAAGAAGGAAATAAATAAAAAGAAGAAGAAGAGAAAAGGGAGGAGAGAGGAAGCGGATAGTTGGCTGCCGATTAGTTTCACTACTTTTACGAAATTTTTTCAGATCATTGTAGGTGACTCTAATCTACTATTTTCAAATATTTTTATTTATATCATTTATTCTCTCCTAATTTGATTTTTATTGCATATCTTTGATTGTAGGAAATTGCTATCATTTAATTTTTTTTTGTATGTTGTAGTACTTTTTTTTTTATATTTGAAGTAGATTATTGTGTATTTTCATCAAATGGATTAGTTTTTATTTATGCTGATATGTAAGAATAGTAATTTGTGCATTTTGATACGATTATACTATTAATATAATCATTATGAATGAATAAATTTGTTTTACTAATTCATAGATTTCTAACAATTTTTATAGATACTTTTGTTTTATTAATTCATATAAATTTGTTATTATTTGAATAATACTATAATGGTATTTGATTTAAGAATGATAGTTTACAACCTCACCATTTCGACATTCGTACTATACTGCCTTACATGTTGTAATGTTACCATATGTGTTTTATTATTTCTGCATAGATTTATTATTATATTGATTACTGATGTTATTATATATATATATATATCCAAATTAGATTTTAGGACATGACATAATCGCCTTCATTAATTCATTTATCTTCTAATATTCATTAATTGGTCAACTCATACATATTCCCCCAAAAAAGAAAAATCAAACATGCAAAACTTATATCTAAAATTCTAATATTAAAACTCAAAATTTAATTATTTCTTCTTAAATAAGCTCTTATGATTGGTATTGATTATGCTCTTACTTCTACACTTTCTAGAGCTCTTATAATTGGATCTTCAACTTTATTTCCTTAATCTAATTAATGTGCTACATCACTAAGCATATAAAGTAGAACAAGTAGTATTGAAACCCAAAAAAAAGGATCATGACCACAAATCATAAGCTAGCCTAATGATCTCATATATGACCTTAGGAGATCTAGGTTGTCCTAAACTAACCGAGGCTAGACCAAAGCTAAACAAAAATACCCTTAAGAGTACCATTAGTCCAACTCATCACCTTGAACCCACTATTGATCAACCTGACCCACCATAGGCGAACTTGAAATCAACAAGGTCAACCCAACTAAACTCTATGTTAGGTCAAACCCATTCAAACCCTAAATGAGGACTACAAAAGGGGCCTTTGCTTAAATGGTAAATGCATTAGTTTAAAACCTAGATATCTCAGGCATCAATATCAATAAATATAGGTATGATAATTCTTTTATATCCAACATGAATTTAATATATTTAATTTTCATTATGCCAACCTAATATCTATAATTTTCCTTATACACGACTTATACTTTACGTGGACTTGAACAAACCAAATAAAAAAATATGTAATAAATAAATATCCTTAAATAAAATAATTTAAAATGTGTATATATAAAAAGTTTAACCTAATGGAACTTAGGCTAACCGCTAACCCAAACCTTATCCTATAAGCTATACGAGTTGATGGACCCACCCAGATACTAGAATACACATTAGGTCAAACCTATTAAAACCCCAACCATAAGCCAAAGTTAAACGCTAAACTCGGTCAAGCTTAACCCAAAATGATTTAAGGACCCAAACATAGGCTAACTTAGACCTTAAGCTCCCTACCCTAAACTTGGATGGACTCACCTAAACTCTAGGGACCCCACCTAGTCAACCTTAAAGCCTTAGTTAATCTTAGGAGCTCAATTCAATCAAGATAAAATAGAAAACATGCCCTTAAAAGCTAAGGATAGACAATTTATTATCTCTCCCTGTCCATAATTTAAACTCATATGTCAATCAACCTATAATCCAAGATATGAGAGGGAAGATTAAATGTTTGATTTGTGCTACACACTATTCAAATTTGAAAGAGGGCAAGGAGATTACAATTTGACATCAAACAAGTTCATTAAAGTTTAGATGGGCGGGCAATTGGGCTGACACCAAAGTGATCTAAGATTAACGATTCTTCCGTAGACCTAAGGGAAGGTGCATAATATGATAAGCTAATTAAAGAAATACTTTATGTAAGTTATACCCTAAACTAAATTAATCTCAACACTCTATGATTGAAGGATCTACATACTCTTTGATAGATTATATCATTGTTTAGAGTCATCAAGGTGACCATTTTAGGATTTTAAATCTCTTAAATTCATCCAAAAAAAGAAGAGATCCTTATTTCCGTTTATAAGAATTGCCTAACATGAGGAATGAATACTACTATAACACAATAGAAGATATTTAAGTTTTTTTCCGAACTAGATGAACAAATAATTTAATTATAATATTAACCTTAATTATTATAATGCTTATTTTTATCTCATTGATTAGGGTACATAACCAAGGGTCTACGCAGGTGTGAAACATAAACTCCTAGTAGATTTAAGGGCCTTAAATGAGTTATCATCTAATTTGACTCAGTATATATAAAAAATCAAACCCATTTATGCTGTTAAGTAAATGAGGACCTGAAGGTGACTCTAACTCCTAATTAATTTCAAGGACTTAAATGAGTCATCATCTAAATACTCATGCTTAATGTAAAGTATATAAAATCGACTTAGGCAATTAGGTTAGGTAGCCAAAGACCCATCTTTGATCGTAATAAACACCAATAGAACTAATAATCTAATATGATAAGGTTGTAAGATCTATTATCAAGCTTCCCATATAACCTTGGTCATAAGTCCCACTCACTATGTATCTTTAATATCAAACCACAAACTATAACCTTATTATATGTCAGAAACCTAAAGGTCCCAAAATCAAGTAATAAATATTGGTCTAAAGGTATCTTCTTAAGGTGAGTTGGTTTCTAGTCCAAAACTTAGTGCAAGATGAGCATTTCCTTCACAAACACAACATAGAGTCCTTTACCATAGCGCTTTGTCACTTATCAATAATGAATCAACCCAATGATAATATATGATAAATCAAGTGTCTTATATGTATGGTTGCTTCGTAATAAAGATAGTTAGTATGCACATCCTAAGCATAAAAATTCTTAACCTCTCTCTCTCTCTCTATGATTAGGTCTTGCCTTTACTCTCATCAATCATTTATGACTGATCTAACTAATAGATGACCACAGTTCATGCTTCTAAATCATTTTTTCGAGCTAAAATGACTTGATAAAAATTATGAAGACTAGGAATATAAAAAAAAAAACTCACTTATTTGACCCCTCAACAATTTTCATTTTATGTTGATAACAAAATGTAAGAATGACTAATAAATAGTCATATCAACAATTTAAACTTATTAATAGGGATCTGCAAATCTTAGAGAGCATAAAAATTTTTCAAACTTTATAACCAATAAATTTTACTTTATTTAAGATAGTTTTCTTACTGTTTTCTACAACAACATTTTAGCATTAAGATTCTTAAAAATAATTAAAAACTACTCAAAATTAATAATTTATTTATCACACATCTCATCTTAATATGTTAGTTGAGAGCTTTAACTATCAATCAAGAAATTTTGACTCCTAAAATTGTGTAAGTGGTGTGTATGAATTTATCTTTAATGCGCTCAAAAATATAAAAAAAAATTATTTATTTTATCAATGTAATAAGAAAATGATAGTGAAATAAATAAATAAATAAACAAAAAAAGAGAAGAAATGGTAACGCCATTATTTTTCAGAGATGTTAAAAACTTTGCGTATTTGCGCATTTCCAAAATCGTTGAATTTGGAAATTTGGAAAGTATTTATCGATGGATTCCGTAGAAAAAACGGCAAAAAGCGAATCATCTCCTTCACCGGAGTAGGGTTTCGCTGTCGGCAATGGCCGCGTTCGCGCAGGAGCAGCTAGACGCGCTGGTCAACGGCATGTATCGCGAGGTACTTTACACGATTTGTTTCTCAGACCTAGTTTGTGACTGTGGCTCTGGTGCTCTGTGAATTCTGTTTGTGGTGGGGTTTAAACTTAGTTTGTTTATTTTGACATGAAATCGACTGACGACTTTGGGGTTTGTTTTGTTTTGTTTTTTTCTTGAGGTAGGGTTTTCTTGATGAGCAATTCCAGCAGATTCGGGCGCTGGATGAAGGGGGGAGTCCTGATTTTCTTGTGGAGTTGCTTGGTTTGTTCTGTGCTGATACAGATAGGATGTTGAACGAAGCGGCCCTTTTATTGTATGTGGCGTTTATTTTTTTTAATCTGGGAGTGTTAGTTTGGCTTTTTGATGATTTTGTTGAGATTGAAATGGGTTTTGGTCGATTATGGACTGCAGAAATCAACCAATTGTGGATTACAAGAAGGTGGATGCTTATTTTCACCAGTTGAAAGGGAGCAGTGCAAGGTTTCTTTGATTTAGTACAATGAATGCATGTTTGTGCTTCATCTTATTTTTATTCTTTCGGTTTTTTTGTGTATGGATTTTGCAGTGTTGGTGCCCATAGTTTCAAATTAACGTGCATGCTTGTCCGTGATTCCTGTGATAAAAATGACAAAGAGAGGTAAGTCGCTCATACCTTGTCTTGGTCAAAAATTTGGCAAGTTCGCTGCTATTTATGCTAAGTCATTCCTTCTTTTGGCTTTTGTCCATTTTGAAAACTTTCCATTGAATAAGTTTTCATCAGCATTTAATGGTCCTGTCTGTTTTGAGAATATTGCTCGAGTTATTATAATTTGAAACAAGAAACTTGTGGAAGCAATCACTGTCTCTTCCATGAGATCACCTCTCATGAGTTACCAATAGCTTCACCTTACATAACATTTTTAGGCATTTTGTTGGCCATATCACCCTAGCTCTTTTATAGAACAACCATTCCTTAGTTTCAATTATCTACAACCAACTCTTTAACTCGATAACCTTAGTTAATCAACTCTAAGTTCTTTTATCACATTTATTTATCATAATTATTTTGATTTCTTCCCTTTAGTTAAATTTTATGTTGTATTCATCTTTGTTCATATAGGTTATGGATTTACTTTAGTATTGCATATGACTCAGCATGGAGATATCTCTGTGTAGTATTGGTGTTGTTCAGTTCCTAGCAAATTTATTGCTAGTTCATCATTTCTAAAATGATATGATTTAGGAGATTAAACCTTGTATGAATTTATGTAGTTAAAACTTTGGGAATGGATCTTTTGATATCAAGCATAGCAATTATATGTGTTGAGGAACTCTTGTGTTGACTTAATTAGAACAATGTTGTTCTAACCCATGCATAATATATTTTTAGGTGCTTTGGATTCCTTCTTTGATATAAGGCATCTTGGGTTTTTAATGCAAATCTAACATGAGATCGGAAAAATTATGCTAAAACATTCAAAATGTGCAAGTCACAAACTATTAATGTGAAAAAACTAATGTTTATGTTGATGAAAACTAAAAAAATTGATGGAAATCAATTTAGATTAAATTACTAGTGAAATTTTATTAACAATTAATGGAGAGAATGAGGATTGAATATGTCATACACATGGTTGAAATTCATGTATTTGACAAAAAACTAGATTATAGCAAATCCTACCAACCACAATATCACTTACAAACCTATAATAAAAAAATGTAGAAGAAAGAATGATAGAGAAGGAAAATAATGAAAGTAAATTCATTAAAAAAATAAGCCTCATTTTTATACTATGAGATAACTTCTATTAGAATCCAAGTCATGCACTTGATCAAGTAACTAAATCTGTAAGAAGAAATTGCATATCCAATTAGAAATTTATTCAAAAATCAATAATTTATGTACATGCCTTAGAACCGTATTTATAATTATAAAATTAATTGAAAATCCTTTCCACCAAGTTATGACCCCCTCCAAATCACAAAAATATTAACATCACCCTTTGCTACGAGGACAAGGAAATTCACTACTCGTAGCTCAACAACAAAAGCATATGATCAAAATAGAGGAAGGCCTTATATAGTGCCAAGAAAGCTTAATGTTGCAAAACTAAGTAAAGCTGTAGATAGAATTCCAAAATAAAGGAAAGTTGTAGCAAGAGCCAAGAAATAAAATAATCAACCACATAGAAAGTTAGAAAATAGGGCAACCGTAGATAGAGCTGCAAAGCAGAGGAATCAATCGAATTTCCTCATCACTTTTGCTTTTGTGGGTATTAATGTCCTCTTCCTCTAATTGGAGTCGTTATGCTGTCTTTGGTAAAAGAGTAAGTTTGGTCCATTAGGTTACACTTGAAAGTATTTTGCAATTAAAGATCTTTTTTTCTGACTTGGCTCATTAGGTTATTGTTTTAATGCATGATTGTTGATCTTCTGTTATTTAAAAAAAAAAGTAAAGAAAAAAAGAAATACCCCCATGACTTTTCCCCGCATCGGCCGCTCACACACTATCTCTTCAACCCAAGTTTCCCCTCTTATGATCTTCCTCGCTCTTCTCGGTTTTTATCAGTTTTCACAATTTGTTCTCCCTCTCTATTTCGTGATGCTTCTTCCTAGACCCACACCCACTCCCTCCCATTTCATTCTCAACCCCTCGTCTTTCTGAGCTCGCCCACAAACTCAATCACCCTTTTCTCTACAAAACTAGCATCAACCCAACTCCCGTCAATTTCTCACGCAGCCCTAGCCAACTTCATCTCCGCTATTACCTAAGTTTCAAACCCTTAATGGCACATAAGTGATGAATTGTGATGGCAACTGCCAACTGCTAGCAGACGCATCAACAAGACCAATAACCACCTATGGAGGAGAAGAGTTTGCAAGACCTCAAAAAACTCCCATTTCTTCATACCACTATTGATCTCCCAACACTTCAATCTCCTCAATCATCTCTTGCAAATCATAGCCCCACTTGTTGCAGCCTTCCTAGCCACTTCCACACCTCTTCCTCCACACTCCACAATGCTCAATTACCTCCTCCAACCACTATCCTTGATGCTAACAACCTAACCTGAGCACTAGGTGTGTTGAGTCTCTTTTTCATTAGAATCACCAATAACCTTTTTTCATCATTATTTTTTTTCTTCAACCACAACTCTGATGAACTTGTCGACATCCTCAAATATTTAGCCGCCGCCATGTTACCCACACAATCCCACTAAACACCGCCATGGCTTCCTCCCTTATGTGTCTCTCTAACTTCTTTCTCTAGCTCACTATCTTCCTTCCGCTTCAGTTCACAGCTCCTCCACTTCTCTCCTTAAAATCCACCTTTCTATCTCCCGCTAAAGGTCTCGCAATCTCTCTTGCATTCTCTCTCTAGCCTATTATATTCCCCTAACCCATCTTCCTCTCTCACTCTTTTTCTCTCGTACATTGTATTTTTTTCTTTTTCTCACTCTAAATCTTTTTATATCTCTCTTTGATCTGCTTTCTCTATCACCAAAGAAAAAGCTAGCTAGAAAAAAAAATAAGGAAATTCCAAAAAAAGAAAGGAAAGTATTTTCAAAAGAAAATTCAAAGAAATAGAAGGTGGGTATTTTGCAAGCTCCTTACTACAAACTTATAGTTTTGCCATGTAAAGTAACAATGCAAGCATAACCTAAAAATTTAAGCTCCCATGTGTTTTGTTCTAACAAGGTGAGACAAATGCAAAATAAGTACTCATGCATGTTATGCCAACATGATAGGAAAATCTTGCATAGTTTCTTGTACAAGTAACGAAGGCCAATGCGTACCTAAAAATCTAAGTATCCGTGCACATTATTCTAATGCGATGGAGAAAAAGATAAAATAAGTCCCATCCACAGTGTTCTAAACACCAACCAATCCAACCATGAATGTTTTTAAAGCTCAATGGGAAGGTCTAACACTCACCATAGATGTCTTTTATGTTCGAGAGATATTGGGAAATTATTGTATTAAATAGTGATCAAATTTGAAAAGCATGAAATTTAAGGACACTTTGAATATGAGCATGATAAAATTAAAGAAAATTTTCCAAAATAAGAAGAACAGCATGCGGGAGGACCAATTGAACTTTCTTACGCTACAACTTATAATAACAAATAGACTGAAGACAAATGAAATGAACATTGAATTGAATACAAAGACTATAAGGAACTAGAATGCTCATCTATGAGCACATGCAAAACCTTCTTATCACACTTACAACACTCCCTAAGCACTCATAAATAGGGTAACTCAATGTCCTGTGATAATGAATTTAGAGGGAGAGCTCTTCTATTGATCCGTGGGACCACCACACAAAACTTCAAACTATATATAGATGAAAATTATAACATTGTGTGAAATGCAGTAAATTATAGGTTGTGCACTTTGCATGAGTACATAATTTTCATCATTTCATGATTGATCATTAACATCACAAAAACTGAAGCCAGTTAGACTTAAACCCCATGAACTTGATCCTCTATAGGTAAGCAGGCATAGTTCAATATAATAAAATTCAATCAAGCAAACTATCCAAGTGATAAATGTGGTTTTTGAACATCATAATCAGAGAAGTCCATTTTCAATAATCAATTTTTTTTTTAATTGTAAAGGTAAATGTTTCAAAATTAGTTTTCTTGCTGATGACTTTGTTGATTGAAAATCTTTATTGGAGGAGATGTCATAAAATTCCAACGTAAATTATTTACAACTAAAATCACAATATAAGTATATGAATTCATTTTTTTTTAATTTAAAGATAATTTAAAATTAATTGATTCAGTCTAAAAACAAAAATTCTTTCACTCTTGGCAATGGTTTGTCAATGTTGACAAATTTAAGATTAACCTCTTCAAAAATATAACGGCATCACGCTAGTAATGTGGCACACCATTAAGATTAATCAAAGAAAATTATTTAGGATTGAAATCCTGATAAAAGTATAAAAATTTAAATTTAAAAAAAAAATCAGAAATTTTTCAAATAAAATTAATGACTTCTATTCAAAAGAAAAAAAAAATCCACTCTCAGAAACAATTTTTTGAGGTTGACAAATTTTGGATTAATCAGCATCAGCTCATAAAGTGTCAATATCATATCAGGTGTATTGCTGTGATCACTTTCAAAAGATCTCATGCTAGTAATCATCTAACATGTGTAGTCTAATTATGTGCTTTTATTGCTAAATGATACCACTACACAAATGTTATGACCAAGGCTCTGACTAGGATGCTTGAGTTGTAATAGGTAGTTGTCTCATTTGGAACCTCTTGCCCTAGACATTTGAATCTTGGTGCTTTATCTCCTTGTCTTTTGATTTGCATATTCGTCTGGATTATGTGGAGGCAATGTTGTTTGTAGACCGGCTGGGTATTGTTCGGGAATGTTAGTTGGTTGAGATCAGTTTTTCCTTTTGATATAGTCTGTGTTCATCAATATCATCCATTATGAAAAGTCAAATTTCTCTGCTCTTATCTTTGCATTTTATAATTTTAAGGCTCGATTTTGCTTTATGCTTTCATGATGTTTGGTTCATTTGTAGACATTATTAAAGTTAGGATTCATAAGACCTGCATAAAACAAGTTTTCTAGTAGTCGAAATGATGGGCTTATCTGTTTATCATGATAATCCTATGTCATTGTCATTAAATCTTATTGATTTTTAAAAAAAGCTAGGTTGTTATCTGTGTGGCAAGTGAGATTTTAAATTCTTCATCAACAAATGAATTGATATGAATGGCTTCGATATGTGATGAATGGAAAATCAAGATGTTCTTTAAATTTCCTAGTTGAGCATATGAAACTATCATGTGAAACCAGTTATTCTCAACACAAGTAATTTATGGCTTTATTATTAATTTTTTTTTTTAATTTATGGCTTTAAGTGGCCTAGGGTGAAGATTTACTATATGCTGGGTACTGTCATGAATAAGGTTTTTTTATTTATGGCGCTGGTATTTTTTATTAGACTTTTACGGTATGTTGGGGACACTGGCATGTATAAGGCTATTATCTTCCTCCTTTCTAATTCATCAAAATTTACTGCTATCTTACTAATTTTACAGGATGTAACACTGTCGCTATTTTTCTAAGCATCTACTTATAATTAATTGTTTCTACTTATAACTTTGGGAGTTGATGATATTGTTTCCATTTTTAGGTATTGCATGCTTTCATCTTATTCACTAATGAAATAAATATCTTTTTGATCTCAGTTGCTTGGAGGCATTGAACCTGGCCAAACAGAGGTTTTATGAACTGTCCAAGAGATTAAATATCATGATACAGGTGATCAATGACTTGCATCATTTTCTTATACTACTTTTTTAATGTGATTTTATACTCAGCTCTCCTTGGTCTGTTGGTTGAGTGCTTTGACTATCAACTAAAAGGTCTTGGATTCGAGTCATACATATTTATTGTGTGTGTGAGTCTAGGTGCTGTCCCTTGATCCTCCCAAAAAAAAAGTGATTTTATGAAGATTACAAAATATCATTGTTTTGCTAGATGTTTGTATATTAAGTTAGATTGTTGAACAATTTTAACTATTTGCACACTAAGGCCTCGTATAGTTGCGGCATTCCTTTTGCATAAGTGGAGTTTAAAGAAATGGAGTAAGCGGAGTTTGGGTAAGCAGCATTTTTTGTCCTTTTGAAATCGACAATATTATGGAGATATAAGAAAAGAGATTCTGCAAAAGGCGTGTTAACAAACAATACACAGTAACTTTTTTCACCGATTTAAATCGAAAACGCGTAACTAAGGAGGAACAAACGAGGCCTAAATGATTGCACTCTCTCATAGTTGATGTTTACTTCTATACTTAGCTTAGCAGCTGGTAATTTTGTAAAAAAAATTAAAAAATGCGTTTATAAAGAACTTCATGATTCATTATAAGGATTTTTTCCCCTAATCTAACGCATCCTGCCATTCATAAGCTATGATAAAGATGTTCAACGGGAAATCTACAGCTTTGGAAAAGCCAATGGAGTAAACATTATGGAACTTTTAGATAACTACGCTTCTAATTATTTTGTTACTGTCAGATGCTTAACATAAGTAATAAAGACATTAATCTTGCTAGTCCTTTTTTAAGGTCTATAAATCTCATGATGAGAAGATGTGTAAATTAATAGATATGTGTAAGGGTATATTACTGGGCGAATGCTATATATGAGCGGATCAGCAATTCGATATAGAAATTCCGTGTTTATCCCACATCTAAATGTGCTTTGTTGGTTTTATTTAACTTTGACTTAGAAATGGTTAAACTCGCAACTTGGTTTTGTCTATTCGCCAAACCCTCTACAGCAGACCTTTCTTCATCATTCCTGTCTTGCGTCAACTTAGTCCATACTCTTAACTATTTTCTCCTTGTAGTTAAACCTCCCTTACCCCTCCCAAAACTTATCTTTCACTCATCCTCACCTTCTTACGCCACTCTCCTCCATATTGGCTACTTTACTACCCTCCACACACATTACTTTTTAATGGCTTAAGTTTAGTAAGAACAATTTTTCTCCTACATATCTTCTTTTACCTAGATGTTGATATAGGCAAGGGAGGGGTCAAAACAAGTTGGGATTTAAATTTTGTGAGTTTCTTTATCTCTACTAAAAATCATCTCATTAATGAGCTTCTTCTTTTTCAGCTCATTAATATCTAGTAGAGAGTCTTTTAAGCTCATAAATTGAAGATTAATTAGATTCATCCCCTCCTCCTTGTGGCTCTTAGGTTTCTTCCCTTGCCTTTATTTATGATTTTTTGGTTTCTTCCCTTGTGTCTCTTCCATTCCCCTTTGTCCCGTGGATTTCCATGCTTGTCCCTTGGTTGGCTGTGCTGGGTGGTTTTCCTGTGCCTTGATTCCTCGGTTCCGTGCGGACCTCCTTGGTTTTTGCGGCTGCCTCTTCGGGTTCTGCCTGGGTTATTTTCCCGTGGCTGTTGGGGTCTTTTCCGTGGCTTTAGTGCTTTGTTTCCTGTGAAGAATTGGGAATATTATGAAGTGGCTGATGGCTTTTCATTTCCCTCATTCAATTTTAGAATATGAAGAGTTTTTGGGACTGTTTGTATTCCCTCTTTTGTTCTATAAATAGGAGATGTTTTTGGATGATCAGTCGTAGTGAAAATGTTATTTTTGGAGTAAGAAAACCTGAGGGTTTTTGGAAAATCTTGAGAGCTTTGTCCACTTCTTCTTCTTCTTCTTCTACTTCTTTGGAAGGCTTGCAAGCTTTTCCACCCTTTGTCTTGGCTTCTAACCTCTTCTTCTATCCGCAAGTGCCACCTCACCTGTATCCTTCTTCTCAAAGAAATGCAACTTTAGGTGTTGGTCTTTATTGTGTCGTTTGTAAGAGTCAACAGTTTGTAAGTCTATCTTTTATTATAAAAAGTGTCTTTTTGAGTCTTTTGAGTATTTTATGTCTTTTATATCTCCTAGGAATGTTTTATTTTTCTAGCAAAAATTTGGGGCCCTCTCCCAAATTTTTGCTTACATCAGCTGTTAACATGCATTGTTGTTTTTTTCATTGGATTTTTACTTGGTTTTTTACAATTTTCTGTTGATTTTGGTATGTTCCCTTCATTTTTTTTTTCTTTTCTTGTTGACTTGAGTATGGTAATGTACCTTTTTCATGTATATATATATATATATATACATACATACTCGTTTCTATTTGTGTGTTTATATGCCTATTTAAGTTCGATTTTGTGTTCTAACCATGTGTGAGCCGTCAAGTTGAAGTAAATCACTTTCAAATTTAAATTGATTAGACTTCCAGAGATGACCAACCAAAATTTGAATTTCATGCATAATTATTAATAATAGTACTGACATAAAATGATTCATCAATTTTATAATGTAAGTTAAATAAATATATTTTAGCATGTATGCATCTAAAATAATTTCATTGGTTATGATTTAAAAAAAGACTAATTGTCCCCTATTTTGTGCTAAATTTTTCCTTACATCGCTTTGTCAGTTTATTGTTTGTGCCTCACGTGAGCTCATCATCTCAACCTCCTCACGTGAGCTTATCACCTCAACCTTGGCTCGATTCATTGGTTCACTTATTTTTGGAGTCAATTTGTACTTCTGCACCATTGGGCTTCTTGATGTGATTATGATCTACTCACTTTTTTTTTTTTTTTTTTTTTCTTGGCTTAACTTTTATTAAGTATGCGCAACAATCGTATTTGTGTTTGGTTGGGTTGAGTTGGAGGGGTTTCGATGAACAAATTTCATTATAAGAGCCCATTTTTTTTACAGATATCTTATTAATATCTTTCTATTTCTTATTTATTTATAATTCATGGGCTCTACTGATTTAATATTTGAAGAAACTTGTGTAATTTAGTTTTTGGTTTAATTGATTTTAATATTTTACAAAATAAAAAGCAAACCAATGGTCCAAAAACTAAGAAAGTCAGCATGCATTACAATCACTAATCAAATCGAACTGAGCTATAATTGGTTTTATTTTTGGAGTTTATCCAAATAATGCACGCCCCTACCCCTGCATGACCAACCATCCAGTGTCGCAGTCCCTTTATTCATTATCAAATATCTTATTTTGGTCATCATCAAAATTTATTTTTAAATTATTATTATTATTTTTATTGGTATGTCATTATTATTATTATTTAATATTTTTTATTGATTTGTTTTGTTATTGTTTCCATTGTTGGGCCCTAATTTGATGATGAAGATTAAGGTTTAATATTAGATTGACAGCAGGTCATAAACTCATATCAAAACTAATGAAATGAGTCTAAGTTGGAATTTTTATAATGCTGAGATAATCTTCAGAAGCATTGCACCATGATCTAACTTGTTTATCTCTCTGTCTACATATGTTGATTTATTTTTGTGTGAGACATTTAGGTTTGGTTAGGTTGAGTTGGGAGGGTTTAGATAAATTAATTTCATTATAAGAGCCCATTTATTTTCCATTAATCTTATTATTGATTCTTCTATTCCTTGCTATTTACAATTCATGAGTTCTACTTGATTTTATATTTGAAGAAACTAGTATAATTTAATTTTTTTTTGTTTGACTGATTTTATAAAATAAAAATCAAACTAATTATCGAAAAACTAAGAAAGTCAATATTTCAATCAATAATTAAATCAAAACAATGTAGAATTGGTTAGATTTTTTTAGTTTATCCAAATATTTCACACCCTTACCTCTGCATGATCAACCATCACTGTTACAGTCCCTTTATTCATTGTTCAATACCTTATTTTGGTCATCATCTATATTATTATTATTATTTATTATTTTATAATGCTTTGTTTTTGGATTGTTGCCATTGTTGAGCCTTAAATTGGATGATGAAGATTAAGGTTTAATATTAGGTTGACAGAAGGTCATAAACACATATCAAAATTAATGAAATGAATCTAAATTCGAAATTTTATAATGCTAAGATAATCTCCAAAAGCCATGTACCAAGATCTAATTTGATTGTGGTGAGGAGTTGGTAGGAGTGGGTTAGCACAACACACTTAAGTAATCATCATAGTTTAATTTGATTGTGATGGAAATTAAACAAAGGTTAAGTCTAAGATTAGATTTACCACATGAAATTTGGGAATATTGAATGAGAACATGAGAGAATCAGTAAACATTATGATAAGAAGAACTGAAGAAGAATAAATTTTCTTCATTTATAAAAAGATAAATGAAAATGAGAAAACTCAAGTTTGGCGAGGAAAGTTATATTAATGTTTGTGTAGCAATAGGAATGCGATTAAGTTAGTGGTGGACAAAAAGTTGAAAGATAAAACTATTTTGTTTAAAATAGTTAGTGAAAAGATTATTGTTATGAAGATTATTATCAACGAGAAAATTATGAATCTGATTAATTTTTATGCTTCATAAGTTGGATTGGAAGTTTTAGGTAAGAGAGATGAACTATTATAATATATGGCTACTAATGAAAGGATAATTATTGGAGATGATTTTAATGTGCATACAGGTTCTAGTATGAAAGTTTATGAGAGGATTTATGGAGTAGGAGAACTCACCAAACCATGCTTAATTTTTTTTTTACACAAAAGGGCAGAATCTCATACAAAGATTATAAGGTAGGCTAGGAGAAAGCTTAACCACAAAACATAAGATAGTGGTTGTGTATTCTTATCTTAAGAGTATGAAAAAATAAATAAATAAATTATGGCTATTGGATGAGGTTCCATAATTTGAAAGGTGAGGAATTATTAATCTTTCAAGATAGATTACTAAGAGAGGCAAATTGGAATTCTTTTGTTGAGCCATATCTATTTTGGGGTAAGATGTCTAGTTCCATTAAAAAAAATTTGTTCAAGTTTTTGGAAAATCTAGAATGGATCATGCATTGAGAAGGGTACTTGGTAGATAGAGGAAGTATAAAATGTTATTGAGTAAAATAAATATACTTTTAAAAAGTGATAAAATTTATATTTTATTAAGATTTGTAATGATCATAAAAAATCTAAAAAATTTGTAAAGATGGTAATGAGTAAAATAAAATCTACAAGTTTTGATTATTTATATAATTGGCTTGTTATTAATAAAGGAGAAAGAGAGATAAAATAGCTAAGGTAACAGATTAGAGATCTTGGAATTTTGATAAAATTAGATGTATTAAAAGTGAAGATCACAGGAAATTAGTTAAAGAAGAAGATATCAGGAAAATATGCAAATATTGCTTTGAGAAATGATTAAATAAGTCTTTTAAATAATAAATTATTTTGGAGAATAATATATAAAATATGTTATATATTGATTAAAAAAAATGAATTGGAGTTAGCTCTATAAAGATGTATAAAGGTAAGATTTAGGTCCATATGAGATACCTATGGAGATTTTGGGAGTTATAGGGGATATTACAGTGATTGGGCAATCAAATATTTTTAATAAAATTTGAAGTGGTCGTCAATTGATTGGACAAGAAGCATTTTTGTACCAATTGTTAAAAACAATGGTGATGTTTTAAATTATTCTAACTATATAGGAATCAGACTTAGTCATAAAACAAAGCTATTACAGAGAGAGAGAGAGAGAGAGAGAGAGAGAGAGTAAAGCAACACAAACTATGGAAAATTATAAAAATTTTGAAGAATCAGTTTATTTCATGTCAATGAGATCTATTATGGTGAACTTTTTTTTTTCTTAGATTACAACTAATAGAGAAGTATAAAGAATATTAATAATTGTTATTTAATCTTATTGAAATATAAGATGGTATATAGTTGTGACAGATTTTATTATCTTAAATCTATTGTGGAAAATAATAAAAATATAGATGAGAATGTATCTTTTTGGATTTATAAATAAGGAGTCCTAATCCAGATGGTTGGGATAAAGCTAGTCAGGGGCGGGATCCCCTTAGGGTCAAAGGGGGGGAATTGTTATTTAATCTCATCCCAAGGCTTCATTTGGGATAGTTTTTTTATTGTTTTGTAAAGTAATTTTCTACTACAAAATTATTTTTTTAAAATTTTTTATACTAAAAAATTATTTTATAAATCAATACGAAAGCTATCCCAAACACCACATCATAAAATGTCATTGTAATGATATATATTCTTTTTCTATTTTCTGTAGTTTTATGCACTTACTGGTTTTAATTTCTTCTTCATGCAGCTGGAACAGGCAGTTTATGCCCACAAAGCTGGAAAGTAAACTAAGCAAAAGCCCCTGTCTGAAGGATTTAATTAACCAGATTCTCAGCCTTCTCTTTTATTATTGGTGATTGAGGTGGCAAACCAGACAAACTGTACAGGTCCTTTAACAGGTTTTCATATGCCCTTAATGGCAAAATCCTTCAGGCTTTAATGGCAGAACTGTTTGGAAACTGTTTTTTTTTTCCCTTTTTGTATATGTATCCTTCCTTTAGAACTAGAAAGTTAATTTAGACAAGGAAATTGTTTGTCATAATGGCATCTAATATTTCCAAATCTTAATAAACTTTGAAATATTTGATATTGATACCATTTATATGAGGATATTTTGATATAAGTTTTAATTGTTTAGATATCTTGATATAAATTATATCATATTGAAAATGCAAAATAGAATGTAAAATAGTAGAAGGATGTATTTTTTCTTTCCAATTAGAAGCAAAATAAAAGAAGCATAAAGTTTAATGATGTTGGTGGTTGATGGCGGCGGTGGCAGTGGTGGTGGTGATAGGTGAGAAGCCAGCGACGAGCATCAAGTGACGGGTGATGATTGACCAGTGATGGCAGAGGATAATAGGCGGAGAGTGGCGGTTGTATCAGGAGGCGGCGGTGACAGACGATAATGATAGAGAATTTATAATGGCCAAATCTAATGAATTTTAAATACGTCAAAATTAAATTAGAGGGTGAATTTCAAATACTTCAAAGCGTGCATACACAATGTAGGTTTGTGCACACAAATATTCATCTCTTAATTCTCCTTCCTAAGCTCCGATTCCATCTCCATAAAGAGGCTCGACATTTTCTTTTATAGGCAAAGTACTTTCTCTTTTTAAGCTCCAATATTTTCTATCTTGAAACTTGCATTTTGCATTTCTATAGCAAAAAAGGAAACTAAAAGAACCATGGGTGTAAAAAATTATAACTATCTTCCTTCAACAATCATTTTTCAAATAAAATTGCAATGTAATGCCAATTAAGGACAAAATTCTGCTACTTTGTTGTATCTATGTGAGGCATGATGGAATATAACATGATAAAATGGAGTAAAACAAAGGTCAAGATGGCCTACTCATCCACAAATCCTTTTCCAAATTTTGTTTGAGATAATTCACTACACTTCTATTGTCACATTCTATGATGATGCCTAGCTTTGAGATCATACATCCATGGCTCTATGAGGTGCTTGATGAATATCATGGCTAGCTTCTAGCTCTATAGTATATAGGTGTTGCCCGAATGCTCGCAACTATTATCGACCGCTGCGATGAGCATCCCCTTGTCATTTTTTATGATGGCCTCAATGCCATATCTACTTGAAGGAATTAAGGAGTGAACTATCAATGATAGCTTTGATATATATATATATATATATATATATATAGAGAGAGAGAGAGAGAGAGAGAGAGAGAGAGAGAGAGAGAGAGAGAAGAAGAAGAAGAAGAAGAAGAAGAAGGATGGGATAAGCACAAGCATGGATTAGAGACTCCAAAAACAATAGCCTACATAATAGTAGTGGCAGCATGTGGGAGATTGTTCTTCTTGGCATTTATGATTCTCCAACTTTGTCAAATCACAACACAATAGAGATGGAACCAAGTAATATTTGTGTCATTGAGGCGGGAGAAGGCGTTAAATATGCTGCACCATCTGGTAAAAGCAGTATAAGAACAAGAGTTGCGGACACATAGTAGACATGAGACCTTGTAAAGAATGGGGGACAGCAGATGGAGAATCGGGCGAAAACAATGGATCCAATATTTTCTCTAGCAGGAGTATCAAATCATCATATATTAGCAGAGTTATAAGTGACACTCAAAAATTGCAAACCCTGAAATGGAACTCTTATCTTTTTTTTAAAAAAGAGTTAACAACCTTCATATAGATAGATTAGATGAAAAGAAAGAATTTTCACCAGAGTTAACAATCTTCATGTTTAAACAAATTTTTTATTTTCTCCTTGATAGGGAGTTAATTATCCTCAAAATTGGATGCAACACATACGAGAGATGATGGTTGATGCCATTGAATATTCTGTGTGATAATGCAAAGCTGATGCTTCTCTATCTTCAATGACTTTATGTCATTTAACCAAAAAATTTTGAATTTTTTATGAACATAGATAGCATCCTCATCCACTATCATTAATTTTTTAATACAAAAATATTATCATTTGGTAGGATAGAAAATTCATGGACAATAATTTTCCTAAACATATCATTTTACTAGTTATTAACTTCATGAATTTACTACAACTTTTATCAAAATGACTTGAAACTCTCATTGATGTATACATGTTTCATAAAAAATTTCAAAGGGTGTAGCAAATCTTATATGAACTTTGGTAAACATTCCTAGTACCTCTGTGGGCCCCGGAGGGGTTTCTAAAACATGATGGGAAGGGCCCCATGCATTCAACAAGAAAGAAAAAAAAATTTGGGAAGCAGTATGAATTCCTTTAAAATTGGGAACCTACAAGTTTTTAAGATTGTTCATACCCATGTTTCCTAAAGCAACAATTTGTTCCACTCCTTTCATTTATACTCCAAGCACTATTTATATAATGTATATTCCCTCGACCACTTTAAGACAGATTGAGTGGTTGTTGGTCAATGATTCTTACATTGTAAGTGTTGTTGCTATAAAGAAAAGTTTGTCGAAACCTCAATTGAATTATTTTTCTAGCATATTTGATGTCATTGGAAAGAAAATTTAATAATTTATTTCCTTTCATAATTTTTGTGAATTGGTCATTTTTTCCTTTCAATCTGTACTTCAATTTAATATAAATATATAAATTTATTTTTGGTACTATCAAAAATGAAGTTTGACTATCAGCTTGATATAAATGTTTAATGTTAATACTGGTGATGCCAAGAATTGATGTTGATTTCGATATCATTGAAATTATTTGAGATTTGTTACATTTGAAATAAAATTTGTCCTTGCAACAATCTTCAAGAGGGAAGTGACTATTTGTTGGAATCTAATATAGGACGATGGAGATTTGTAGGTTATAAAAATATCCAAGAAATATTTTGTGATGATGATAAATTGTGTGAATTGACATCATGTAGATCCACTAACTTTTTATAAGCTTCCTTATTTATCTAGCCCTCATATGTTTTCTATTTCATTGATATGCAAGCTTGGTTTATGTTTACAATGGAATTATTGGAAGTAATAGTAATTGATGAACTCTCAACCGTCATGTAAGAGTAATTCATATTTATTAGAACTTGCACCCGTGGGATTTGGTCTTCATATGTCTTTTAGAAATACTTGAAACATTCAAGTCTTACTATAAATTTAGTATATTGTAGTTGAATATTTGAATCAGTAATAAAGTATTGCCCTCCCCCAGTAGGAACATAATAATCTCAATCCCATAATTGAGAAGGAATTTATCATACATCATATACTTTTTTAGGATTCTAAATCAATTTGTATCCCAATATACTTTAGATAAATAATGAGAGTGTACATTCTGAGACTTATAACATTTAAAATTTTTAGATGAATAGCCTTTTAAGATTTTTGAATAAGTGTAAAAACATGTAAAATGGGTTAGTATATATATATATTTTTTTAATAGTTATAGATTATGTACCTTCTAAGGCTAATGTTTATATGATTCTTAGAAAACTGGAGAAACATGTATCTTCTGAGAATTATACCTTCTATGATTTGTTTGAAGAGCTTGCATCTTTTGAGGCTTATACTTTTCAAAAATTTTAAATAATCAAAGAAAACATGCACACTATGAGGCTTGTTTCGTCTAAGATTATTTAGAGGATCAGTATCTTTTGAGGCTTATTTTTTTAAGATTTTGGAGAACTTATACTTTTTGAGACTTGTGCATTCTAAAATTTCTTGGAGAAAAATTTAAGGCTTATGCCTTATAACAATTTTGAATTCTATGCACTTTTGTGGCATACCCCTTTTTAAGATTTTTAGAGAACAAGTATCTTTTGAGGCTTATTCGTTCTAAGATTTTTTTGGAGAACATGCACCTTTTAAGGCCTTAGCCCTCTGAGATTTTTAGTAAACTAATGAAACACATATATTTTGAGACTTTTTTGGAGAACATTTACTTTTTAAGACTTGTGCCTTTTAAGTTTTGTTGATAAACTAAAAATATTTTCCTATTGAATGTCATTTTGATAGTAGAAGTTACAATGTTAAGATTGGACTTTGTTGTTTGAATTTAAAAAAAAATAAAATGGTCATTTCATGTGTTCAAAATTCTAGATACTCATTACAATATTAGTCATAGATGTATTGAATGAGATATAATTAGATGACTTATGCTTAATTTGGCGTGGAGGTTGTCTTTGATCTCTTGAATTTTTTTTTTTTTTTTCGAGGAGGACAATCATACTTTTTTGGGGAATTCTTATATTTAGTTGAGAATTTTTCAAATGGCTTCTGATGAGCAGTGATTGCCTTTTAATAGTTATTTGTGATTTTACTCGAAGAATAAGATTAACATAAAAATATTTTGCCCCTAATTATAATGAGTGTAAATATCTAGGGCGTAATTCTCCATAAAAACAATTTCATAGTAACTTTGGGTCTATTCCCATAATTTAATATGCTTCATAAGAGAATCTTTGATAGTGTTCTTTGATATTCTTTCTTCATTTTAGCGAATCTCATAAAAATGGCAGGAGTCTTTGATAATCTTCTAATTTCAATGAATTATTTGATGAATAGCCTAACTAAAATTTTTAAAAATAAGAAAAGTTCTAACATAGAGTGTAAAATTAGGTGCAAGATTGTCTCTTAATAGTTGTAGGTAAGATCTATTAGAAGAATGCATCAGAAGTTTGAATATGCATGATGACCCTATAGTGGTTAATATGCTTATAAAGATTTGAAATCCCTTCATAAGGATCAATTACAAATAACTTAAACTTTATTAGAATATGATGCTAGATAGCTAGATCAATTAAAGGCAGACACTCTTGAAAGCTACAGTGATGAGTAAGTTAGTTTATATCCCCAAAAGAAGTTTCTCCAAAACAACATGTCAAAATTCACACTCTTTTAACATCATGAGGAGCATTAATAAGATGAGATTTATTTAGGTCCACTAAGACAATTAGAAGATTAGAGGTTGGCTAATTAACACAGGATGGAAGGGTTGTACTAACATTGACTAAGAGACTATGATGAGATCGTGGTGGAGGAGGAGATATAGCATGAAGATAAGGAGGCATTGCATGGTTAGTATCAAATTAATTTGTCATTATATGCTATTAATTTTGTGTAGGGACAATTCTATCATATAGTGACGGTGCTCTTTATTGTTAGATTTCTTCTACAAGTTGAAAG